ACTTTTTTTGAATGAATGGTGTAAACTGTTACTAACTTGAAAAATGAACCACTTGGTTCATTGGTAGAAAGCACAGATTTATTTGAAAGCTTAAACACTCACCGACTGCGTTTATCCTCCCAAAATAAGGAAAAGAATATTCCTTGCCAACGTTACCTGTGAAATTAAACAAAGAATAAACCATGTTTTCAGACCATTGCTCGATTTGTACCTCTATTAAATAATCTCCGAGGTAAAACCAGGGACCAAAAATTGATTTAGAAGCCCAGAACTTTTGGAGTGTTTGAAAACTGGGAAGACGACGTAAACACCAGTCCCACAAGTGGGGTCATTGCATGAAGTGGAGTCCAAAACCCAGACCCCGGGCAAAGCAATGTGGAGAGGCAACAGGACTGGCACCCACAGCGAAGGTTCATCTGCACCACAAATTTATCCAGAAATAAATTTAATTGGCTTGGAAATCAGGAATTTGTCATAACTAATGGGTGACCCGCACAGCGCTGCTATGAGACAGTTTCATTTGGGGGAAAAAAAAAAAAAGAAAAAACCCAAATTCCTGCTTCATCAAGGATTTTTTGTTAGTTGCCTGCTTTGGCAATGCAAGATTTAATAGTTTTAGGTTGTTTTTTTTTTTTGGTTTATGTTATTTGTATGGCATTCTGCTTTGCCTTACTGGAGACTGCCAGCCCCTGCCACCTCGGCAGCTACTTTGGCAATGCAAGATTTAATAGTTTTAGGTTGTTTTTTTTTTTTGGTTTATGTTATTTGTATGGCATTCTGCTTTGCCTTACTGGAGACTGCCAGCCCCTGCCACCTTGGCAGCTACAGGTAATCACAGCGCTTGAAATCAGGAGGGAAATCTGCAGTCACTTTGGCTGGATGTCGAGGGGCTTGTTTTCTCAGTCCTGCCAACAAAGGATTCCACAGAATTACCCTAAACAGTGCAAGAAATGTTAAACTCTTCCTTTCAAAGGCAAAGCATAGAAACACCTTTCGTTAAGACCAAGTGATGAGGACATCAAAAAAACCCCACTCAGATATTCCCTTTCCTAACCTGGAAAAATACACCTTTCCTAACCTTCCAAAGAAGGTTTTGTTCATGATTTCTTTCATGTTAAAAACTAATAATGTTGCTGAACGTCTCCCCGCACATTTTTGGGGGAAATTCCCAATTACGTTTTTTAAGGCAGGAAATTCAACCCCCAGGAATCTTCCACCTCCCCCTTAACTGATTTCCAGACAGTAAAATTGTCAGCAGCAAGAGAACTGAAATGGAGTTTGAAGCAGGCCTGATCAAGAACAAACAGGGAAAAAAGCACAAGAATAGGCAAAAAAGCATAATTTAAGACATTATAAATGACTGGGGACGAAAGGGACCAATGGAAGCGAAGGAGATCCAATCCCACCATTTGTGTGTCTGGGTTTTTTTTGGGTGTATATCCATAGGGTGCTGCATGACAGGGAAAAAAGCACAAGAATAGGCAAAAAAGCATAATTTAAGACATTATAAATGACTGGGGACGAAAGGGACCAATGGAAGCGAAGGAGATCCAATCCCACCATTTGTGTCTCTGGGGTTTTTTTTGGTGTATATCCATAGGGTGCTGCATGAGAGGGGGTTCTGCAGGTAAAGAAATTTAGATTTAGAGTTGACACTGCACTCAGCTGCGCCCACCCACCCACGCAGAAATTTCATGCAAAATTTTCTCGAATACAGACCAAAAAAAAAAACCCCAAGTTTGAAGTCACCGCTGTCCCATGTGTAAGGAACACACTGAGGTGGATCTCGGGATCATATCCCATTCCACAGCTCAGGGACCTTGGCTGGATTAGCTCCAGACAGATTCGGTACGACTCTCTCAGGATTATCAAAATCAAGAAGAAACACTACAACAAAATGTCCCAACTCAAACCAGAATTCAATTCACTCAGAGATTTTAAGGACCAACTGTATGTTTGTGACCAGTTGGCTATTAAACCAGGCAACTTCAAGGCAGAAAACAGTATATACAGATCTGTGTTCTATCTTTTATACAATTATTTAAGTTATTCCTCAAAGAGAACTACGAATTTCTTAAAGATTTTATTTTTCTTCTGTGGTTTCTCTAAGAAAGTCCTTCCTCCTGTAAAGGGTGGCCAGTGGACAGCCATTTATTATAAATAATGTATTGGTATAACAATGAAGAAATGACTGCAGTTGCTATTAATTATTTATATGTCAAAAATTTGTCATATAGTCAAATCTCTCGGGAGAAACTAAAGGAAAAATTAAGAGATGGAGGGAGGGCACAGAAGTTGCTCGAAGGCACAAGGTCCCCACCTGTGGGGGTTTGCAGAGGTGGGAATGGGCATGTTCCCCCCGCAGTGAACAACAAATCAGCAAACAGAACTAAGGCATTTTAGCGAAAAGCAGAGATTTAAGGTTTTAATGAACACAGATGTGGGGGCAACACAACAGCAAATATCATTAAAAGATGGGGGGTTGGAACTCTATGGTCTTTAAGGTCCCTTCCAACTCTAACCATTCTATGACTCTATGATAATAAGCAAAGAGTTTCAAAATTCAGATAAAGGTTCACAGGCACTTTTATATTGTTCCAAGTGACATGTGTCATCTTCAGACATGGACCAGCAGACCATTAAGGCCAGCTCTGTAGAAAAACTTTCATTCCAGGTACCTAAATGCAGCTACAAAACCAACCAACTGCCATTTCTTTCCCCCCACCCCCCGGCACAGCAGTAGAAATGGCAGAGAGAGAGGAGAGCACCCAGTCTCAAGAGTTACAGTTCACCTCGCTCAACACCAACCCCTCTCTCTCCCCTAAATCACACAGCAAACTTTACCCATCCTCAGAAAAACCACAAACTAATCCAGGACCTGGAAAAGTACACGTGAAAAGGAAGGGAACCGAGACCAGAACACCAAGGTGGCAGCAAACTTCTAACCATCCTGTTCCATTCTTGGAGGAGACGCAGAACCTGAAGGATGTCACGTCCCAAAGGCTTCATCAGATCTCTTTCAGAGCACACACACTCCAAGACTTCACCAATTTATCTCTTCAGTATTCATAATGAGTGCTGATATTCAATACAACAATATTTTAAAACACATAACATGGGCTGTAACTCTCCACACGCTCAGCTTCACACTGAGCATGTGCTACTGGGTATCCGAAATAAATATCCTTAATGGATGCACTAATTAAGCACAGAAAGGTCTCGTCTACCCTTCTCGGGACCGTGTAACCCCAACCTCAACAGGGCACCAGGAAGGGCAAACTACCCATCCCACACCCTTAATTCTGGATGTTCTGAAACAGCACATACTGCATGAAATGCTCCAAATGAATGCTCCCCTCCAGCCAAGCAGTTTCACACCGTTCCCCTTTTAATCCCCTGCTCTGGATTTTAACAGGATTCATTGTTGAGACTATCTATAGATACAGCTAATTGCCAAGGTTCAGGTATTTTAATTTATCTGTAGTTCTTTATCCAAGACCAGCACCATCCCACGCCGTTTCTTCCAATTACACCAACACTGAAGTTCACCCAGCGACTGTTGTCTTTGCCAAAAAACTCAGATCTAATTTTTATTCTGTTCCAGAAGCAGCATTTTATCATTCCAGAAATAGCCTGAAAGAGTCTTTAAGACAATTATGAAATGTCATCTGCCCACACTCTCCCCGTTTCAAACAGCAGCGCTACCACCATCAGGTCTCTGGCTATTTGACATGTCTTAATTACAACAGCATTCAATAAAAATCAGTGATGCTTCCTTAAGGTCAAAGGATCTATTTTTTTCCCCAAAGAAATCTCTCTCCCCCCTCTCCCCACACCTTCTGAACAACCACTTCTGGCCCCTTGGATAAACCAGTAGTCCTTGTCTTAGTTTAACACAAACCTAGTACTGGGAGGTTTCTACCCTTCCAAACAGCAAACTAAAAGAGACCGTAATTTCTAGCTGCTGCTAGAATATTCTGTCAAAGCAAGAAACAATCTACCTTGCTAAATTTCCATCTCTGATTAATAACCAACTGAAAGAAACATCAGCCCGCCTGCCACCAAGCAAAGGATGGAGATAAGCCAGGTATCCTAGTTGCAATAATAAAGCTGCTAAAGTTAAACAATTAAAACACAGTTCATTTTTTCTTATTTAATAAATAATATAAAAAAAGTGAACCGTTTTTGGTTGGGTTTTGTTTGTTTGTTTACATTATTGGGTAAAAAAAGTGAACCGTTTTTGGTTGGGTTTCGTTTGTTTGTTTACATTATTGGGGAAAAAAAAAACAAAAACAAAAAACAACCCAAAACAGTTTCTTCTCTAACTGCAGCAATAATACAAGCGATATTGAGATTTTTGGGTGGACATTGGGTGGACATTCCATACAGCCTCACAACTACCGACGGCTTTTCAACTCCCGGGGCTGGTCTTCTTGTCTGTAGGGCTGGTTCCATGGATGCCCCCACTGTTCATTACCCAAAAGAAAATAAAAAAAAAAAAAAACAAAACCAAAAAACAAACCAAAACAGTTTCTTCTCTAACTGCAGCAATAATACAAGCGATATTGAGATTTTTGGGTGGACATTGGGTGGACATTCCATACAGCCTCACAACTACCGACGGCTTTTCCACTCCAGGGGCTGGTCTTCTTGACTGTAGGGCTGGTTCCATAGATGACCTCACTGTTCATTCACCAAAAGAAAATAAAAAAAAATAAATCAAGTCAAAATCAATCATATTCCTCGGTTAACATTGAAAAGAAAAAATAAAAAAAGAAAATTATCCACAAAACCGTGGCAAGTTCCAACAGCTGGTCAAATTATAACTGTTTTTAGGATATCATAAAGGTAACAAAGATGTTCCATCATGTTTGTGACATCAACAGTAACACGGCATTTTATCTTTAGCCTTGTAGGAAAAAAAAACAACCAAAAAAAAGAAAACCAGGATAGTATATGCACATACACACAACAGAGTACACTTGACAAAAACACTTTTATGTGGTTTACATTTCACTTTTATTTAATCCTCAAAACTGCCCATATTGCAGGGTTTTTCTTGATGAAATATGGAACTGAGCAATTAATTCTACAAAATTATGGTAAAAACTTGCTCATTTTTCTACCTTATTGCTAAGAAACTTTACAGGTGCACAGTTTGTAAAAATAACCCTTTTAAGACTGAATGTATACACATGCTACAGGATTTCTTTTTCTTTTTTTTTTTTTTTTAAAAAAATGACATTAGCGTAGCACCTCCAGATGGGGCAAATGCAGTGCTGAATACAGACAGAATGTTTACAGAGTTAGAACTGCTCATTTATTTTACAGCTTCGAAAGGGAAGGAATTGTTCAGTCCTAAAAGGGTTAAGTAGAAACCCTAATATAATTTTTCTTTTTTTTCTTTTTTTTTTTTTTCTAACAAAGCTGCCACTCAATCCCACAGTACAGTGCTTGAAAACAAAGTCAAAAGTCTGGCACAGGAAAGTATACACATTTGTTCAGTACTCATAAACACAGCTGCTTTTGAGAGAAAGTAAATAATCTGGTTAATAATCGAAGAGCATCTTAGTTTCAAGATGGGCAACCTCCATGGAGTCATTTCATCTACAAGTGGGTACCTTACGTCCAACAGATGATTAGTTTCACTCAGCATTTATGCCTTGAGTTCGGGGCTTTTTGGGTAACCATTCTGAACTCATCAGCCTGGGCAACGGCAAGAAGGACAGAAACCCATTATTAACACGGTTGTGGGATGCCCTTAGGGCAAATAATTAGGAAAAAAAAAAAACCAGCAGCAGCGGATTATTAAAAGACTAGGCTAGTGTTGAATTCTGAAATGCAGTTCCAAACAAAAGAAAACAAGACAAGGCATAGCTAAATTTGAGCACTTCGTTTGCTTTTTCTTCCTACAGTTGGAACTATAACGACATTCTGAACACAGACTCAATTTCTATGTATATAGAATTAACAGCAGACTTAACAGCAAGACTCGAACAGTTATAAGAGTTTCGGACTGAAACATCGCAAAAGTAGTTTTATCAAAATCTCGAGATATTGTTAATAGCATGAAAACTGATTAACAGCTCACAAGGCCAATAAACGTAACAATATCACCCCCGCAGGGGAAAAAAAGTTCAAGAAGAGAAAATATCTGACCAACCGGACACCTCAACAACAGGGAGGAGCTGGAAGACCATTTTCTGTACTGGGGAATAACTACTGGCAACAATGGAGCCACGAGCCCGGGGGAAAAAACAGGGTTTAAAATGGTCTTGTAAGCAAAACTTCATAGTCTCTTTTTTACTTATTTCACCCACTTGGCTGTAGTGTGTAGAAGAGCAGAAATTAGGCTAAGTCATTAGGTTCTTTACAAGTCAAGGAGTATTACATCTACTGGGCAAAATTATTGCAAGTAAAGAAACTGAATATAAAAAAGTATTGCATTTATATGTAAAAATTTTAAAATAATGAGTATAAAAGCAGGTGTCAAGTTCTGAAAAAAAGCTATTTTAAAGAGTCTTTGAAGGTTGAAAGGCTTGTTATGGTTTGCCTACTGTGTGTATAATCATGGTTCGTTCTTGAACACCCTCTGAATCTGATACATATATCGCTTATTTGGATTCTCAGTCTAATTAGTGATGAAAGTCTGTGGCTCTTGAATTAAGCCGTACTGCAAGATACGTGCTTCTAACGAAACCGCTTCCCGCCACCACCACCACCACAAAAATCAGAATGAACTCGTCCAGCCACACACAAAGGTAAACAGGTTCGCAAGTAATTGCCAGTAAACAGTTGAAAACAGAGATAAGGCCACAATGAATCCTGCCCTTGGTCACTGAAGCGGAGATGAGGTGAGGCAGCATTCCCCAGTGCTAGGGACCGGCATCGCCCCCGTGGCACGGGGGGTCAGGTCTGTCACACACAATAAAGGAAACACCAAGGCCTGCAGTAGGATACGAGCGCTTTTCGGAAGGAGGGTGGCACCGATTTCACCAAATACGTTTTTATAACCCATTTCTTCCTTCAACCACGTTGTTTTCACACACACAGAGACACACACCAGAGCACTGAAGCGAACAAGTCGAATGGAGCGTCAGAGGAGACAAACGCGGTGCAGACACAATGGGTGTTGAAACTGGAATAAGTAGTCAGAAATAAAAAAAAAAAACAACAAAAACACAAACAAAACCTTATGAAAACGGTCAACGGATAAACTTATAAGCAACGCACTGCAGGAAGCCACAGGTTCACGTTTACACAGCAGTTGTGGCTCTTGCTTCAGGGTGTAGGAAAGGCCGACCACACCATCAGATTTGTAATTTGGCTTTTTGAGAAGAGCACGCTATCAGAACTTGTCCTAGGAGCCTACAGTTCCATGACTACAGAGGAACTACCAAGGTCTACTTCCCAACACAAACCAAGCAGGCAGGTCTACAAGGAGGGACAAGACAACGGCAGAGTCCAAATGAAAAACAAAATGCAACGACCAACAAAGTCAAAGTGCAAATGAGCCTTGAGTTTATGATGGAGAGAAGACTTGAACGTTGCACAAGCTGTTGGCGGGGAAAGAGAGACCCACAGGAAATCAGGATGGGAGGAGCTGACATCTTCATAGTGCTTTTACGATTTGCTAATTTGCCCATTTCTAAAGTAAGAAAATTTACTTCCTAGTTATCACGGTATGATCACTTCACAATGAAAGCACGTTCTCAAGACAAGTGTTACACCAAAACCTGGCCTAATTTACTGAACAGTTATGAAGAAAAACATGCTGGTTGTGATTCTCGAGTGATGAAGGGCATCACCCACCAATCCCATTTGTAGCACATACTTCTCATGGTATTTTTTAGTTACATGCCAACAAGACAGAAGACATGCTGCCAAATGAAGTTATTGGGAACATTCCACTCTCGAAATAAAACATTTAACTTACACTTAATACAAATTATGTACAAGATTAGAAAAACCTGAACAGATCCTGAAACGTTTTCAGATGCAATATGACTGAGCAAGGAAGAGGGGGAGTAACCAAGTAACAACTCTTCAAAAACACCAACGTATGCCTGTGACACGAACAGTCATTAATATGACTGCTTGAGATGCCACTTTAAAAAAAAAAACTCATGTAATGTTAGAACCTCATGAATTATCACTATAAATACATATTAAAAAAAAAGGAAAAACAGAAATAACTATTAACAATGACTGAAAACAGAGCACTAAAGTTAACATACATTGCATGTATTGCAGGCAAGGCAGAGGCATTTTTTTAAAGCTTTTGCACAGACTTCATATAATCTTAAAAAAAATATGCTGGCCTTTACAAGGTTCTACTTGCTGAAATAAAAACAATTTCAGTTCATAAAAAGTCACAAGACTTCAGTTTAAAAAAAGGAACAGTTCCAGCCACAGACCAAAAATATATATATTTTTTTAAAACTGGAAGAGTATGGTAATTAGATTATACAAGCATGGTCAGGCTTGGAACCTGAATATACTTCAGAGCAAAAGCTCAGAGGAAAAAAAAATATAAACTATTTGGTAACAAAAGTGTACTATATGTTGTGATACAAAAAAGGTATGGTGAAAATGTACCTTTTATACTAAAGCTTATACAAGTTCCTTGGTCCATAAAAACTATGTTGTGTTCATGTTTTCTAGTTTGCTCAACATGTATCCCAGCCACATTTTTTGTTTCTTGCCCATTAAAAAAAAAAAAAACAGCTGAAAAATAGATTTTCAATAAAGTTCTTATGTTTTGGATGTTTGTTTTTGTTGTTGTTGGTTTTTTTTTTTTTTATTGTGGCTTCGATATTTCAGATCAGCACTTGGCAGGTAACAAGGTTCAAATAATATCACCTAAAATGGAAAGGTGTTTTTTTTTCCCCATGAAACCACAAAAAAATTGTTCAGTTCTCTTGAACGTAGCACTTAAAAGTCAGTTAAAAGTCCAGCCAAACACCAGTAGTTAGGAAACCACAGTCGCCGTGGATGATGTGACGTTGGTTGGGTTTGTGCTGACGTTTGTGTAACTCCCCTCGCTGTTTGTGTTTGTCGTTTCGCTGGAAGCCATGAGGCTGGAGTTGGCTCTGAGGATGGCTCCGGCCGCGCTGCAGTGTGGTCGTGGCCCCGGCTCCGGCGTGTAGGTGAAGGTAAGGCTGGTGGAGTAAATGATGCCGTCGTTACGGACCAAAGTGACTGGAACCTGGACTGGCTGACGGACCCACCTCCAACCCTCTCGAAAGGCAGAAATGTCTGGAACAACACACAGCATGCTCTCTGCGCATCTGAAAAACAGGAGAGTCGACTGAGCATAATGAAACTTAAAGAGAACAGAATAATTCACTCCGAAGGGACCCGCAACGATCGTCCAGCCCAACTGCTTGAGCACTTCAGGGCTGACCAAAAGTTAAAGCATGTTATTAAGGGCACTGCTCAAGCGCCTCTTTAACAGTGACAGGCTTGGGGCAGTGTCCACCTCTCCAGGAAGCCTGTTGCAGTGTTTGACCACCCTCTTGGTAAAGAAATGGTTCCTGATGTCCAGTCTGAATCATAGAATAGAATCATAGAATCGTCTAGGTTGGAAGAGACCCTTGGGATCATCGAGTCCAACCATCCACCCTACTCTACAAAGTCCTCCCCTACACCATGTCCCTTAGCACTGCATCTAAACGGCCCTTAAACACATCCAGGGATGGTGACTCCACCACCTCCCTGGGCAGCCTGTTCCAATGCCCGACCACTCTTTCGGTGAAAAATTCTTTCCTAATGTTCAATCTAAACCTCCCCTGTTGGAGCTTGAAGCCATTCCCTCTCGTTCTGTCACTAATTACCTGTGAGAAGAGACCAGCACCAACCTCTCTACACTGTCCTCCTCTACACTGAGCCTCCCCTGGTGCAGCTCTGAACCATTCCCATGTGTCAGAATCAGAATGGTTTGGGTTGGAAGGGACCTTAAAGATCATGGAGTTCCAACCCCCCTGCCATGGGCAGGGACACCTCCCACCAGACCAGGTTGCTCCAAGCCCCATCCAGCCTGGCCTTGAACCCCTCCAGGGATGGGAAGTGTGAGAGTGACCCAGCATGACAGACCAGGGAAAAGAGCTCAGTGCCTCGCTCTCCATGTCCCCTCCTCAGGAAGCTGCAGAGAGCAATGAGGTCACCCTTTGAGCCCAAAGTCCTCAACCGCTCCTCCTAGGACATGCCTTCAGCCCTTCCTCCAGCTTTGTTGCCCTCCTCTGGATGCATTCAAGTACCTGAACATCCTCCTTTAATTGGGGAGCCCAAAACTGCACAGAGAACACAAGGGGAGGCCACACCACCACTAAATACAGTGGGTTAACCACCTCTTTTGAGGGGCTGCCAGGACACACCGGTGACACATTGAGCCTTCTGTCAACCGTTAGCCCCAGATCCCATTCTACACACGTGAGTGTATACACATGAGCATACAGTCTTCAAAGGGTTCAGTAAAATGCAATCACCATAAAAGCAGTAGGAAATACTGTACCTGTACATGGTTTCAGCTTCCACATCCCCAAACCAGACACGTAAATTTGGAGTGAAGTTCTGTCCTGTAAGTTCCAACATTGCTACATCCCCGCCACCATTCAACTGGAAATTGAGTGAGTAGAAAGAAAAAAAGAAAATCCACAAAAAAAAAATTGTATTAATAAAAACAAACACCCCTCCTCTCAGAAAAAGAACAAAAAAAAATTCTTCCCATGGGTACAAGAACTGTAAACAGCGTTGTTTCCATCAGCCGGATAAAACAGAAGCACACCTACACAACTGAACTATGAAGTAGTAAAAATATCTAGAAGATACTGCCAATTAATTTGATATCCTGAAGGAACTTCTAAGTTTTGACAGTGGCTACTTAGAAGTCAACCTGGCTTTGAAAACAAAGAGCAAAGAATCTTTCAGAGAACATGTTAGAAGGGCTTCAAGATTTTCCAAAGCAGAATGCCACTTTTCTTAATAAGATTTCAGCCTGGCTCTCTTTGATCTATAATTGGCTGTTTTAAGAGCCAAAATCAATTTCTAAATAATCAAACAGAAGTAGAAGTCCTAAGGATATCACTACCGTAGTATTTTAAGAAATGAAACTCTTAATGTATAGAACAATATTAATATTATTCTTGTGATGGACAGGCTTATGTATTCTGAAATGTAAGTATGAAAAATAGTTGCAACATAAAGTAATTTTCTTATTTATAAAGCTATTAAGAATGTTTCCTACAATATTCCACAAAGGTACCGTGAAGGTTAAATCAGTATGACAAACTAAGCTCATATAAGAGTTTTTTGAAAAAAAAATAATAAACTTACTTGAAGACTTTCTACAACAGGCACAGGTGTCACTGGAGCATGGACAGGTCCCATCCCCTCATAAAATGTGTATTCTGCTTTATCTGTGCTAATGATTGTCCAAGAAGCTCCATCATTAATCATTTCTTTATTTGGTTCTTTTGGGCATGGAGTGGCCTTAGAAAGAAAGAAAAGTTTTAAATCTGACCTGTAGACTCATCCGCCAAGTCACGGAGCTAAAAACCACCTCAGCCAGTAACAAAGTCTATTATCTCAAAAACACGTTTCCTTTTGTATTTCCTCTAAAAATATGAACTCAGAAATAGTCACATTTCAGCAAAACTAGTAGAAAACTAAAACTTTTCGGAACACTGTAACTCACCTATGATACTTCACCTCTCCAACCTTCTGGTTATTACTGGGTTTTATTTTATTTCAGCTTTCAAAGTTTTAGCATTATTCAATAGGCATTGACCAACAAACTACAGCAACTAGAAGTAGCGATTTTAAAATAAATCTTGTTTTATTAATGCAAAGTGACTAAAACAGCTACAGTGCGAAGCAGAGTACTTTTCATTAGTTATGATTTACATCTGGCCAAGATTTGGCTTTTTTTTTTTCCTTTTAGCCATCCACAAAATGATGGAAAACATGAGCTTATATTTTAGCATTTGTGCATAGATATGGGAGAGAAGCTGAAATTACAACATTGCAAATTAGTCGGAAACATTCACTGTCCCCTTGTAAATATTACTAAATATTAATATATTAGCATATATACATATATACAATTATTTTTTATGGCCACAAAAGCCTCTCTGAACAACTCCATCATCTAGCAAACAATAAGGAAATTGTGTATAGGTTAAACACAGGCACAGAAAAAAAAAAGGGACTTAAAATTTCTAATTTTAATATCTGAATTATGCTTGCTTCCATTAAGCTTTAAGGATATCTAGGTATGTAACGATAACCTTCGCTCTTTGAAACTGTTCGATAAACTTCAATTAGCACAAATTTACCAATTCAGATGAAAGGAAGTTAAGATCAAAGCTGCATTCTCACATGGAGTCTTCATTCTGATATGATCATGTAAAAAAGCCCTTGCCAACAGCTTGCAAAGGAAATGTGCGACGGGGATAGTAACTACAAGATCTTTCCAAGCTCAAGACCCAACTGATGCTTTTATTAGAAACACATGGAGCTTTTAAATTACCAGCCCAACTTCAAGAGAGGAACTGTTGTATCCTATTTTGATGCCTGACGTTTTTCCTGCAGGTTGACTGCAAAGCCTGTTGGCATGGACAGATGTACTTCCACTCATGAGGAATAAAACCACAGATAGCAAAAATGAACGACCCCGTACAACGTCCTTGACTGGGTTCTTCAGAGCTGCTAAACCCCTGCCACAAAGTGGAAGGCAAAGACCACAGAATTTGTTCTGAAAGTCCTGCTGTGTCACGAATCACTTAAGGAAAGCATCACTCCCGTCACAGAAATCCTTGAAGGATTATGATTCCTTTCCTAGAGAAGCACTTCTCCTTGTCACTTCCAGGTATACCTACTCTGCTCAAAGAATTCAGAAGAGTGGGTGGTCCTTTATGTGAGCCCTACCCACGTGGAAAGTTTAGAGCTCATATCAGGGTGAGCTTCACAACTGCTGCAGAAACTCAAGAGTGGTAAGATGTCCTGGGAGTCCCACAGGCAATTCCAGGGTGTTGAACTAAGACAGATGTCAGAGAAGCAAGAGTTGCTTCTGCGTCCAGACCTTCCCACAACATACTTTGAGAAAGATCAAACAGCAAGGCTGATATTTAGTTATCACAATTCTCACTTCATAGCTTGATGAAGGTCCATTCCTCTTTACAAGAAAGTATATTGATAGATACATCTCTCCTGTGGGTAGAATCAATAGATGTGGTCCCTTCTGAGCCACAAGTCAGGACTATGCTTCCTGAAATATGAAGAAAGCTTCTCATATTCTCTTCCCATCATCCCAATTTAGGATGGAAGTCAACTGGGCCTTTACTTGTCCCTTCCCTTCAATTATGGGAAATCTTTAAGAAGCTTCCCCCTTTCCCACCTCTACCTTTCTTACCCAAGAAACTACAGCTGTTCTCCTAAGGAAGTTCCAAGTCTTTCCCAAGTGTGGCCACCTTCCTGGAGCTTCTCTCTCAACACCCTTTGCTATTTGAGCTGCAAATTTTAATACTTTGGTAGGTCAGAACTTGGTCACGCTCTTATTACTCTGATGGGAATTACCATGCTGAAAGTCTGCTAAAAGCACACTAATGCACACATGAGATTAAACCCACAATTTGTTAGTGTATTGTATAAGCTGTCAAAACCTAATGCACACATGAGATTAAACCCACAATTCTTTAGCGTATTGCATAAGCTCCCAAAACAAAATTTTAGACTCACATTCAAAACCAACTGCAAAACCAACATTCACACATATTTTGGGAGCATTTGGGAAAACGTCGCAACCACGCTTCTCATCTATTGAAATAGTTTTAAACAACTCACTTGAAATTGGATTATTCTCTCCTGGGAAAGGCACAAATACATTCTCTCAGTGTCTTTAAGGTAAAATGCACATTTATGGAGCTGCGATACTGGATCATCTGCATCCAATAACGCCGTTTGTTTATCTACTTTTCGAATTATCTGTGAACGAAAATTGTACACATATATTTAGGACAATTTCTGTACTTCATTACATTAGAGATTACAGATGTACTGTTTGTAAAAGAAGTGAAAGGTCATTTTTGTTTTAAAATTTCCGTACTTCCTCTTTTAATACCAACATTAGATTGATCATTCTCAACGCTTTTGAGACCAAGAACACAACATTGAAGTGACACTCAGTACTACAGCTTCAATGTGCTGCACGCATATTTATTTTATCTTTTTTGCTACTATAAAGAGTGGGGAAGAAACTTGAAGCTTCAGCAAAATACTACTTTTGTTCCATTTCCTAGGACAAAAGAGCAGTAGGTCAAGTATTAACAGACTTCTACAGAAGCTTCCACCATTGACAGCATTTGGTGGCAGATTGGTGGCCCAATGAGAACCGTTGGAAATAAAGATTTACTTTAAAGGCATTGAGATATCCTTAAGTATACAGTTTTGCAAACACAACAATCATGATGTATCTTAACAACAGTCAGTCATGAAATGTTACTTAAAGACAACTGCAAAGAAGAATCGTTCCTTACATCTGGCATTTCAGTGAAAAAAAGTATCTGCTGGCTTAATTCAGAGCTGTTACACTAATTTATTTGGAAAAATTAAAAAAAAAAGTTATTCCCTTACAGACAGTGGAAATCTGTAGCTTGGAATTTTAACTCAACTTCTAGAAAAAAGTTTAATACTTCATTTATGCAACATCAGCAGAAGCAGCAGCCAAAGTGCTTGAAGATTTCTAAGCCGACAATCAGAAAGCCAACCATCTCCTCTGGGATTTCTAATGATAATAAATGGCATTATTAGCAATATAAGTTTCAAGGTTAACTTGTTTCTTCAAAGGTCCTTGTATTTACCTATAAAATGTCTGCAAGTTACCTTTTAATTATATCACCTTCAATCAATCTTGTAAGGTAGAGTGACAAACATTCCCAACAGCAAACAAACCAGGAACCTTTATCCCAATTTGGTTTTTGATCTATTTCTACCTACAAATAATTTTTATGGAATCCAAAACGATGCATCTTCTTTCAGCAGTAAGAAAATATTAACATGAAGCCCACAGATAAAGTGAGATCCTCTTACTGGATTTCGTGCGCACTGAACCAGATCAGTGGTAAGCAGGTCTGAATTTTTCTGTCAAATATTGCAATTTAAAAAAAAAAAATCTCTTCAAATTATCGTGTTACACCATTTACTCTGAGCAGGTTATTGTATTTTTTAGCTAAGTTTGATATTGGGAGAGAATTTCTCATTACAGTCCTAGTAAAATAAGGTTGGTTTTACACTGGCACATTCTAAAAATTGTTTCTAGTTAAAAGTGGAATTAGCAAAGCCTTGTATGAAACTTATAATGGGCTGAAAAACCACAATTTCACAGATGATCTCAAGTGAAGCATTGTTTATTATCAGTCACATAAAATTCCACTTCGGCTGGCATTAAGTGCATAAAATAGGAGGAAAAAATATCGATAATTACACTTAAATTTATTTATAAGAACCGTTACTGTGTATCCAACAATAAAATAATTTTTTTGGTTCACAAACCTTAACTGGTGATAATCATTTTTGTATCTGTGACAAAGACAAGCGCTGAAATTGTCTCTAAAAGAATATTATTCCAAAGGCATTTAGAATGTTCAATATTTAAAACAGACAGTATTAATAAATGCCCAAAATGCTTTTGTAAACTGATATTCGTATAATTATGTATCCTTAGATGTACACAGAAGTGCTTTTAGATTCAATGCATAGAGCATTGTTAAAGCTGTGCTGAACAGTCTCACTGGCTGCAAAGACTACTCATCTGCTTAAATACTGATATGAAATATTTCCCTACACTGGGACCTACATTACTGTCTTCAAAATAGACATTTTCTTAAGGACAGCTTGCAGATTAACCTACTTTGGCAGGTCTGAATTCTGAAAAATTCCCTATGCTTAGTTTACAAGCTGTTCTCTGCTTTACAGAATTAATCTGCAGAGAGAAAAACACGCTTTTACTAAAATTAATGCCATTTTCCATGAAAAACATGTGTTACCAGAAGTAAACATACAAAGCCGAAAACGACAGCCAGCGCAAACCCAACTATGCAATTACACTAAGTAGCCATCTACAAATTAATTACAGCAGTGGAGAAATTAAACTGTACCAGTCTTGGGAGTGCCATGCCAGTAACTGAGCATACAAGTTTGACAGTCTGCCCATAATGAATGTAGCCGTCTCTCACGGTGAATTCTTCTCCTTCCGACTCGTCATCGTCCACTGCGTGGAACAGGAATTTTCATGTTATTTGTTTTAATTGCTGTTTTCCTCAATAGGAGGAATATTTAACATCACGCTATTACATCAAATTACACTCAATAACAAAAAAAATATATCTGTATATGGGCAATTAATATGGAAGAAAAAAATGCAGGACTTTTTTTGTGGGGATAGAGGGAGGGAGGTGAAAAAAAAAATAAAGCTTTATATTTTACTTACAGAGGTGAATGTAAAATGCTCCCCACTGTTGTGAACTGGCATGGAAATTACCACCTTCTACGTGCAAATATCTGGTGCTAACTGTTTGGGATCGAAGTCTATTAAATAGTGCCACTTTTGTCCCTGACGCAATACATACTGCAAGGAACACATATAGACTTGAGATTATAAAAATGACTTCATTATTACACAGAAAAGGAACAAAAGGTCACAAATACAGTAATACAAACTGCTGAATACAGGAAACCAAGAAATAATTCTCAGCTATTGGTTAATTTAGAAAATAGGCATTTTTGGTGCCTCACATATATAATCGCAAAATTCCAAGTGGGATAACATACACGGTGGCTGTTCTCCAAAGGCATGTTAGTTCACAGAATTTTGCCACTTAGCCAAATGGGCTAGTGCTTGCCAGCTGAAAACTCTTGTTCACAGCTCTCTGGCAACTGATTTTTTGAGCAGAAGCTTTAGCTTGCCCTCGTGAAGTACTTGGACAACTTTCAGCCATCTTGTGAATTATATATGAAGTATAAAGAAAAATTCTTCTTACAAATCACGGTCAATTAAAAGGCACAGACATAACTATGTAAAATTGCAACTTGAAACTCTCAGATTTGAACTTATCATTCAAGAGAGAGAAATGCTAAGTCTGCTCCCCTAAAAAAAAATAAATCAGCAATTTCGCCACCAAAACGGGCATGTTCCTTCAATTTGGTTCATCTTTACCGCGGAAGAATGCTCTGTTCATATTCACTGTCCATCAAAACTATCTGTCTGAATACAAAGCCACAATACAATACAATGCAAAAATTAATTACTACATAAAGAAATGTAAAATACTTACAATCTGCATTTTTCAGTGACTGTTTCTTTTTAGAAGGTTTGGAGATGACTTTGATCCGTTTACTGAGGAACACACCAATGTCGTCACTATTGCCATAGAACATTTTTACCGATAACATGAAGTGCTTTCTCTTGTCTGAGTCTGATATGTATAATGTTTTGGCAGTGCAATAATTCTGTAGGTGAAAACATACTGTTGTTTCTTCTTTCAAGTCAACCCAGTTCAAGAAACTATGTATATTATGAACAAAATAGAAAAACTGATGCAAAAGTTTCTAAAACAGATCAGAAAACTGCTTTTTCCATCTCTATCCTAGGGGTATCTTTTATGACTACAGTTTAGCTTCGTGAAGTATAGCACCTGACTTCAGTATTTTAGCATCTTCTAGATTCTATATTCTATTATTTCTAAAGACTCTTACCAGGACTGGAAAAGAGATGCTTAGAGATTATAAGCTGTGCCAAAGCCAGCTCTGAGTGGAGGTTAAGAGCACTACTAAAAACGACATTTGTTTAGAGCTATAAGGTCACAACACCAGACATACACAGAAAATGTGTTGAGCCAACCTTTTCTTGACAAGATGGGAGATGACTGGGCTTTGAAACACTAGAAAGTTACTTTCAGCTAAGTGTTTACGCTAGGTGACAACAGGAGCTCAAAAAAAAAAAATAATCTCAAAAGAACTTATTCTTTTCCTATTCATCAACACATGAAGCATTTCTAAGTAGACTGTGCTGGAAATACCAGATAGCTATAAAATACTGCTTAATAAAACAACAGCCAAAATGAGCACTCACATGCTGCCACTTCTATATTCCAACTGCTTAAGTCATTACAAATATCTTTAAAAAAACCCTTATAGCAAGTTGTATCACTGTAAAAAAATCTATTACATTTATTGAGATGTGATTTTAATTGTATTTTTACCCAAAGGGACTTAAAGACCACTTCTAGCAGCAGATGTTGTTCAGATACTTCCTTGATGAGATTATCCATTCATGCAAACCAGGGAGATGGTCACAGAATTTGGGCCAGAAACTTATTTCAGTTACCCACTGGTGCCTACCAAAGAACCTACTGACTCTGCATCAACAACCTGCAAGTCAATGCCCTGCTGTGATTCCACAAACCAAATCCACCTATTCAGTTGTTCTACATATTTTTGAGGTTGTTTTTGTTTTTTTTTTTTTTTACACCACTGCTACAGTATAACAAAACACAGTATCTGCTACAGTATAACAAAAGCGGTCAAAAATAAGCAAGGATATTCCTTGAGAGATGCACCATGAAGCTATAATATCCTCTGCAGTAATTTGAGTGGGTTATTACAATTCTTCTACCTTTCCTTCCAAGTTGAGCTGCTGCATTTCTTGGTCACTGTTTCCTATTCCAATGAAGGCGCAAGGTTGTGACTCTTGCTCAGTGCAACCATCCCGTTCCATTTGCTCTTTTTTTTTCTTCCAACCACTGCCCATAAGATACACACATGGAGGAGGACAAAAGAACCTGAAAAAGAAAAATGCATTATGAAATTAAAGACAGCTTTCAAGAAAACTCGAGACAGAAACTGTCGTGCACCCAAAGCTTCCTCGGCCAATTCACACTTTGCATTCAAGTTTATTACGTGCAAGCCCTTCACGTGCCTTGAAGATTTTCTAAAATGCAAACCAAAAAAAGAGAAAAAGCAAGGAAAAACCAATGTTAGATGCAGTGCCACTGAGTCTCTGTCCAGTTCAATGTATGATAGGTAACAGCCTGTATCTCTGTAACACTTTCTCCCCGTACAAAAAGATTCTCCAATAAAAAGGCCTTGAAAGAGAAGGCAGTTTTGCTTTCGTAGGTGCTTAACATCACGCAGTGATTAATGCACACAGAACAGTTCCACAAACTAATTTAATAGACAACTGCTGACTACAATTCCTAAACATTTAGTGCTTCATCATTAGCATAAACCGTAAACCTCTTTTTGGTTTTTAAATGGAATAGACAATTTGACATCTTCATCAGTAAAAGATACAATCTAGTCTTTAGCAGCACTGACTGAAATCCATCCAGGTGCTCCATACAGCACCGTGTTCAAAATTAAATAATAATACAGTGTATTGGGCTTGAAGTTTCTGCAAAATTGTTAGAATGAAAAACTTCACTTCTGGTTTTAGTTGAGCCAACGGCTGCAGTGCTTTTATCATCATTGAGTGAAGATGGCAGAGGATAACTGAAAAATTTTTAAGGTAGGATCGTTTTTTTTTTTTTTAATTTGGCTAGGGATAACCGAATTCATGGAATATTACCTTTAAACACCATATAAACCTCGATGAGTGGAAGCCAGCTTTAGTATGAAAGTCTAACACACTTCTTTATCTCACTTATTCAGCAAAATTACCATTTTTAACAGGTATAAAATGCTTTTCTAAGCAACAGAATTCTTAAAAGATGAAACCAATGTCCTGACTCAATAATCACCGAATAATAAAATGTAAATATTAAGGATCCATACAAATAGATTGAAAGATTTGTCATTGTTTCAGTTAATGCACACAATTAATAGCTATGCTTTGTTAGAGAAACAAACAACTAAATTTTAAGTTTTACTGCAATTCGAAATGTCTCAGTGGTTATGACAAGGAGCAAAAATCACCCCTGCAGGCAAGAAAAAAATTACATTAAAAATTCTAAGTTTCTCACTTGCCAACAAATCCACAGTGAGAATTCTTCACTTAATTTTGCTCTTTTTAAAACACAGCAAAACTGATGATATACCAATCTGTATGCAGCTTAAATATCTACAAATATCTTTCAAAAGTGTCATGCTCTGGTTTGGAAAAAAAAGTCAGCCGACAGGAGGGTGACATCAGAAGATCTGCACATTTGAGAAGCCTGTTATTTTGTGAAACTATTCCTACAGTTTGCTTTTTAAACTTAATAATTCTAAACAAATAGAAATGACCGCTGTATTTTTCTCCACTGTGATAATCCATTTCAGCAAAGACTTATCATAACAATTATTTGCTCCTTTTATTGCCTTCACGCTGTTCTGAAGCACAGAAATTTTAACAACTAAACTTTTCTCATGTGCTTATTGCATCAGTTCTAACTATTTGTACTTTATTCTTTGGGGTAATTATGGGTCATAGGAAGGCTCTGGAATTTTTTTCTTACGATTGAAAACACAGAACACAGAGAACCGAAGCAACAGGTAGAAACTTGCCAATGTGCAAAGCAGACGTTTCCTGAGTGACTTGTCAACTTGAGAAACTACACAATAAACTAAAATTTAACACTTTCACAGTAGCAGCTCAAGAGAATTCATCCACCAGCCTAGCCATGAATCATAAAACTGAAATTTATAGTTATGCGACATTACAAAATCACCATGAATAGAAAAAGTATGCAGTAATAAATGTTATCAGACAGCACACCCCCTGCATGCCCTTATTGATTGCTATTGTGCCTTTTGCTTCTTGTCTTCTGCAACCTGTTCCACCTTTCTTCATGAAGATGCTGAATGATGCAGGTGTGTATTTAAGAACACCACAGGTTTGTGACACGTCAATTAAATCCTCCCCTTTCTACTAAAAATTTTTGATCTCAAAAGCAGGAATGCATTTCCTACTTTCCAACTGCATTTATTTCAAACAGCACAGGTGACACGATCTCCTTTCCCTCAAACACTTCTATACCCAAAAGGAAAAATGATCTTAAAAGGACTTGTGCTTGTGATGCAGGCAGTGCAACGGCAATGGTCAATATTATAAAATTCATATTAACGTACAATATACATAGACTTTCTACATACCAATCTAATTTATATGCCCTATATCATCCCACATCTATATACGAATACCATAACTGTTGTTAAAAACCTGTTCTGAGACTCATCTACTGGTTGCTGCAACTTTTGGCATGTTTTAGAAAAACAGAAAACCAAAACAAAGTAAGAAATAACAGAAATTACACTGAGAAAATTTCTATGGAGGACAATTGTGATCACATTTAAAAAAAAATATAGATATACACAGATAAGAAAGAGTCACATTTTTATTAGACTGGCAAAGGGTCAAGCAAGGGCAATGATCATGGCCAAGTTCAGAAGACTTACTCCACTTTGCCATCCCAGGCAGGGATGATCATGGCCAAGTTCAGAAGACTTACTCTACCTTTGCCATCCCAGGCAGGGATGAAATATGACAGTGGTCCTCTATGAATAATACTTTTCAAATGGGGGTTATGAACTAACTCCAAGGTTAGGAAATGCAATTTTTGGAGGAAAGAAACTTCAAGTAACAGATGCATTTATCCAAAAGTTCCTCTTTTGGAAACAAAACTCAAATTGCCAGAAAAGCATACCACATATCTAGTCAGCTTTTGAACCCTCAAACGATGATACAAGATCCTTTCAAGTTCTAATGGATGCATTCCAACGAATACCATAACTGTTGTTAAAAACCTGTTCTGAGACTCATCTACTGGTTGCTGCAACTTTTGGCATGTTTTAGAAAAACAGAAAACCAAAACAAAGTAAGAAATAACAGAAATTACACTGAGAAAATTTCTATGGAGGACAATTGTGATCACATTTAAAAAAAAATATAGATATACACAGATAAGAAAGAGTCACATTTTTATTAGACTGGCAAAGGGTCAAGCAAGGGCAATGATCATGGCCAAGTTCAGAAGACTTACTCCACTTTGCCATCCCAGGCAGGGGAAATATGACAGTGGTCCTCTATGAATAATACTTTTCAAATGGGGGTTATGAACTAACTCCAAGGTTAGGAAATGCAATTTTTGGAGGAAAGAAACTTCAAGTAACAGATGCATTTATCCAAAAGTTCCTCTTTTGGAAACAAAACTCAAATTGCCAGAAAATGCACACCACATATCTAGTTAGCTTTTAAACCCACAAACTCAAATGATGATACAAGATCCTTTCAAGTGCTAATGAATGCATTGCGCTAATTTTCTTCCCAGCAACTATAAGCTACTTCCAATAAAGAAATTATACACAGACTAAAAATTAACATCAACCTTTATTAATAGAGCAATGCTTTGCAAAAAAGAAAGCAAACCCTTTATATTCCAAGTAGGCCTAACATCATAAAGCAAATATCACATATGTAACCTTCTTCCTTATGTATTCTTTTGTATTTATCTTACTGAGAAAAAAAATCCTGAAGTTTTTTCATATCCTTTTTAATTTCAGCTTTATTCTAAACCAAGTCCTTTGAATAACTATGGCCACTAGATGGCAATCAAGACCTATAAGAAACAACATTAACCCACTGATGAAGAGAAAACAAGCCACAACAATTAAAGTGCTCTTTCTAAATTAGAGCACAGTGAAAAATCTTGGAAAACTATGACTTATTGAATGAAGAAAGAAACTTTTGAAGCTGAGACAATTTTAAGTTTGGTTAGAAGTACCAAATAAGAAGAAAGAGTATGGACACTCACAAATTGAATGTGTTTTCTTAGGTGTCAGCCTCTTCCTCTATAGGGTTGTCTATACCCTTCAGATATAGACAACTACAGCCTGGGGCTTTTTACTTCATATTTACAATCCCAGAAACTCATATATAGAAGAGATGAACTATAAATTTTCTATCCTATATAGTGTGAGTAAACCATGAGTATTCTCATATTCCTAATTTTCACAGAGTATTAAAGAAAGTGTCTTTGATATGTATAAAATAAGTGCTAGAAACAGGTTCTCTCATTAGTAAAACATTTCCAATGTAAATAGTAATGTAAATGTGCATGTGAGAGTCTCGCTTTCAGATAGCTATAAAGAGGAAAAGAGAAAAAGAAAATCACCTCCTCAAAATTAGTAGAGTAATTTAAGTAATTTCCAGTATTACTGATGGGAAATAAGGTAGGACAACGTTTGGTGGAACAAATGAAAATACTCTTCCTTCGACCTTTGATTTACAGGGCCTGCCTCCCTTTTTAATTTAACCACAAAACTAAAGTAAGACTGAGTAGGAGGTAAAAATTCTTGTGAAGTATTAATCTGACCTATAGCAAAAAGAAAACTATGTTGGGGGGAAAGGCAGCTGTGTCTGGTTCTTCTGAGCTTCTTCAGAATCTTCAGTACCAGAAGTAATGGTGGAAAATCACGTAGGATGTTATTCTCTTAACGTATTCTCTTAATATTCTTCTCTATGCCACGAGCAGACTGGTCATTCCTTGCTCAATGGGCAGTAAAACAACACAGGACATTCTTCTGTGAGGTAAACACCTGACAACTTGATCTAAAAACCACATGAGATCTGTCAGGGATGAAGGCTGTGAGCTCTTTCTATACGGGATGTCTAAGAACCAGGAATGTCTTCCCTGGATAAAACTGTTCCACACTCCTTAGAGCTGTAGGATGAAATCAGTGCTTCCCACTTGCTAATAAAAAGCACAGTAACTGAACCAGGGTAACATTTTAGCCAGGAAGAGGTCACAAGATCAATCTCAAAAAAGAGGCATCCCATAGTGCCCTCTCACATGCTGCTCAAGCGAGGAAAGACCATAGTATCATCAGCCTCATGTTAGACTCCAGGCTCAGTAACTCAGTACCACAAACCATCAAGCTGTTACTCATCTGCTCTGACAGATCTGTTCCATCAGACCTACTGGAAATGGAGCATTTTTCCACAGCAAGAAAACCAAGCTGAGATTTGCCTACTGATACTCCCCTTTAATCCAAATGACTTGCAGGGAAGAACAAGGTAATTTCTAGTGGTTTCTCGAGTCTTGACTGCAACAACAGAAAGTGGAATGGGTAGAGTTTTGGGCTCCTCACTACAAGAAGGACATTGAGGTGCTGGAGTGAGTCCAGAGAAGGGCAACAAAACTGGTGACGGGGCTGGAGCACAAGTCTTGTGAGGAGAGGCTGAGGGAGCTGGGGATGTTCAGCCTGGAGAAAAGGAGGCTGAGGGGAGACCTTCTCACTCTCTACAACTACCTGAAAGGTGGAGAGAGGTGGGGTTGGTCTCTTCTCCCAAGTCACAGGCAATAGGACAAGAGGAAATAGCCTCACATTGTACCAGGGGAGGTTCAGATTGGATATTAGGAAAAATTTTACACTGAAAGGTTATCAAGCATTGGAATGGGCTGCCCAGGGATGTGGTGGAGTCACCATCCCTGGAGGTGTTCAAAAGCCGGGTACACCTAAGTGCTTCCCATCCCTGGAGGTATTTAAAAGCCGGGTACACCTAAGTGCTCAGCAATAAGGTTTAGTGATGGGTTTTGTCAATGTTAGGATGATGGTTGGACAAGATGCTCTGAAAGGTCCCTTCCAACCCAGGCAATTCTATGATTCTATGAGTCTTTGGCACCACCTGGAATATTGTTTTAAATCAGGTAATCACTGAAGGAGAGAACAATATTCCTTCAGCCCCTTCAGGCCAATCAATACAGAGAATATATGGTACGTAAGTAGTGAAGCTGCCCTAACGGAACTTGTCAGGAAGCAAGGGGTAGAAAGTAAAGTCAAATCAGCTTATTTCATTACTACCTTGTTTTTTTATACACCTCTTTTCAAACTACAGGCTTCTGCTCACAAATGTTTGCTTTTTCAAATCATTCAGGTCATCCCTGTGTTCACCTTACAGAAGTCTTTGGGTTCAGGAGGATTTAGAGGTGTTCACCAGCTGGTTTTCTGTATGTTCAGGGTGTCATTAACAGGGAGGTTTTTCCTTTGTACCTGTTGGTCAATTCTGAGTGTGTCAAGGCAGGAGGTGTGTTTGTCAACTACCCACACTGTAGCTACTCAGTAATCACCTTTCCTTCTTAGGAGCTGAAAGAACAAACGTCATCCACGAAAGAATTCAATACAACAACAAACAAATGAAAAAATCATTAGGTGCCAGAGTGCTGAGGATGAAGTAGTGGAGCCATGGGGCAAGCCCTGGCAAAGGCTCTGCTCTCAGTAACAACAGCATTAACCAGAGGGCAGGCACACTCAGGTCAGTGAAATATTTGAACAGAAATTACAGGAGCTCCTTCACTAACAGCCAAAAACCAAGTAGCTAGACCATTCTCAGGCTAATCTGTAGTGATAACGTTTAAACTCAAAACAGCACATAATCCACAAATACCAATAGGCTACCATGTCCTGATATCCAAAACGCTTCAGTCCTTTAAACTGTTGAATGTTCACACTGTTCAGAATCTGAAGAGAGAACTCTCAGTAAATGGTAAATAAGGAAAAAAACCAAGAAGCACAAGGCAAACACCCACACTCACCAGGACTACACATCACCTGAGTCTCTATAAGCTGAATGTCTTTGAAAGACAACAGCCATCCAACAGAAAACATCAGGCAAAGAGTCTTAAATTCAACTGAATTCCATCCCTGAGCTTCTTACCTCCTGGCTCCTTTGTTAAACTAAACAACATTAACTTCATTAAGAGAAGGGCTAATAAGAAGCCACTCAAAAAAAAAAAAAGCTGCCTCCTTTCATTACTGTTATTTAGGGACAAGTATCAAGAACGCTCTCAAATTAACCCAGAAAGTCTCCATCCACGTGGCAACAACCTGGAATTGCATTTCTGTGAGGACTATTTAAACCAGACCACGCTACGTGAGATCTACACCGTCCACAGAGAGAGTTTTCAACACAGTATTTCACCATCTACTAAGCCTCAGCGAAAGGTAGCTATTGTGCTAACCTTTTAATTATGCCATGCTAAGTTTATTAACGATAAATATCTTCCACAACCTCTTAACAAACAAGGTTTAAAGACAGGAACAAAAGGTGGAAGTTTGTTTAGGTGGGTTTTTTAGGTTCTACATGTACTTGAAAGACGTGAAAATTTAAGAAATAATCCCTTTCATAACTTGAATTCTTCGTTACATAGATAGCACAATTTAACTTATTCTTTATGGATCAAAAATTAACCTATTCCATAGTGAAATCCTGTGGAAAATACGAAATTTCTCCATAAAAACATGAAATAGGTTTCTGTTTATAAAGCAGATGCAAAACAACTCGCTTCAGCAATGGTATTTAATGTAAAACTGGTGAAAACTTGGATTGACCACCTGCATAAAGCAGGCTAAAACCTTTACTAATTTTGCTCAGTCCAGCAATATGAAGAACCAAAGGAACATGTTCTACTATAAATAAAACAGAAGTAAAAAAAAACACTAAAAAAAAGCAAAAAGCTCATTTATCATTCAATTTCACTAAGGTCACACATGGATCCAAAGATTTAATAACTGGCATTTCTCTTTACAGTGATAACAACAGGACATCATTACTGGGAACCAGCAGAACAGTACCAGAGACAGTCTGGTACTGCATTAAAACATAAACCCCTCTAAAATATTTTAACTTATAAATGAAACCTTACTATGTATTCCAAACTTTCATTTTATACCCATATCAAAATGGCATTATTGTAGTATTTTATTACAAAAACCCAGCCATTTTCATTCCTAGTCGTCCTTTGCAAAGCTCTGAAATACTCGCCACTCATTTGACATGTTTCCATTTTTAAAGAGGTCATTCTGAGATACCTTTACCTTTCCTGAACCAATGCACTTGAGATAACACAAGCAACTAAACTGCACCTCACTAATTCCAGTTTCAACCACTTCCAGCAGTGAGAAAAGAATGACTAGTTTAGTGAACATCACTAGGATTTGGGTAACACATGTGCCTTTAACAGCATCAAGTGAAGGATACGTGTATATCCAAGGCAATATGAATTTATGGCAATGCTATGAAATGCACACAGAAACCTTCACAAACTGTTAGGAAAGAACAATTTGAAGTATTCTTCAGAACACTTATGTAATTTTTTCCAAACAGTAATGGAACTTTTACACTCAAAATTACATACTTCATCTTTTTAATTTCTCTCTTTTGATGCAATTTACTCTCCAATATAATGATACACAGGACAGCTTTGCAAAATGTTCCTGCTCAGGAACTGCTCTGGCCCCAGAAGAACAAACTGAAGTTACAGATAAAGTGTTCAGAAAGTCACTTTCTTATCTGAAGGCACACCCCTCGTTTTTGGGGAGTAATATGCTTAACTCATTTGCAGCGATGAGTTAACTACGCAATTCTCGAATGAAATGCAATCTGAGAAGATAACAATCAGAGGTCCCTATATTGTTGGGATAAATCTTTGGCTGTTGAGTTTATTGCAAAGTGTTCAAGTTATAATTTATTGCAAGCAAGGGCTGACATTGCAACTCTTTTGGATAGAGCAGATACATCATTATATCTGCTTCTGTGTCCTTACTCCTTCCTCTTTCACTGACTTCTCTTTTGATTCTCATCAAGAATTTTGGAAAGATCTATAAAGCACTTGGAGTAAATCCTTCCCTGGAGCTGCAGAACCCGGTCACTGCCCAAGGAAAGGACCTGAGACGACACAGTGAAAGACAAGAGCACTGAGGAGCAGCTGAAAACACAGTCTGCATCTCTGGGATCCACAAACATCAGGAAGTGTGACTTAGACTGGTAGGAACGAACCGAGAACTTCATAGGCTTAATTCTGACATTCCTGTCTTCTAACGCTTTCATACATAAATACATTAAAATCTCAAATCTCAGAAAACAGTAAAAACCCATAGTGATGTAACAGGACTCACACAACAGCAGCAAAACAACAGTTAAAACTTCAAAACCATTAGTGTGCTGAATATGTCGCCTTTTGTGGGAACAAATATTAATAATACAAAGCATCTGAAAACTAATCAAATACTGCACTATTAATTTCAGTGAAATTTAAGGTACAAAAGTATCGTTTATACCTACAGAAAATTCTATTTCATCACAAGAGGACTAGAAACCTGCATATGAAGGACCATTCTGTTTGTTTCTACTAGTCCTGCAATAAACACACGACATAGAGAAGACTGCAGGAAATTCACCTTTGCCTGAAAAGCACTCAACCTCACATCCTCCTGTACATTCCATCCCTTAGAAAACTACCTATTATTGTACCTTGCACTATATTGATTTTTACGAGAGAATGTTTATCATAAATATGGTTATGATTGAGCTGTCATTCTTTTTATAGTTATTACAGATCTGATTCAGAAAAGCATCTTAGTGAGGCTAGCAGTTTTCCTTTAGTTTTAATTGGAAATCACTCAGGAAAAAGGTCCTCTACAAATAGTCGCCATTTATCACTCTGTTGACTCCAGACTCAAAATGGAAGGTTTGCAATTATAGCCATTTTAGTTCAAGGGAAGAAAAACTTCACCCACAGATAGAGAACCTGTTGGTAGAAACAGGTCATCCCTCCATGGAACGCTGCAGGTTTGCAGCATTTCCTACAGAATTAAATGGTTTACAAGAACACATTTTGGTTGAAATTTCTTCAGCCTATAGTACGATGTGAGCAATTCTGCCATGTGCTCCACACCAGACCACACAGAGATTTTCTCCCTGGAAGCTGTAGAGGGAAGCCAGGAAAGCATAGAGATTTACCTTTTTTCATTTCCATATGATTTCTGCGCGACTTTCGCGTGGAGTATTAGCACTGTTTGATCCCCTCGCTCCTTTAGGTAATTTCGCATTGCTTCCCTGAAAATTAAAAGACAAAATAAGCTTTGAAAGTTCTCTTGGTTTTGTTTATCATTAAAATAAATCCAAACACAGCTTTAGGACAAAAAAACCCAACAACTTGAAATTCAAAAAAGGCAACTATTAACCGGGTCAAGAGGAGTTTGTTTTGTTTTTAAGACAATTGCACAGCAAAAAGAAGTGCTTATGTTGCATGAAGCTAGCAGTAGGGGTCTGTGGTCATCTACAATTACTACATTTTGCAGAAAAAAAAAATATGCTTGTGATGTAAAATTATATCAATGCCAATCACTGCACCATGTTCACAGAATCACACAATGCTATGGGGTTGGAAGGGACCTCTGGAGATCATCTAGTCCAACCCCCTGCCAGAGCAGGTCCCAGGTCCCAGAGCAGGTTGCACAGGAACGTGTCCAGGCGAGTTTTGATGTCTCCAGAGAAGGAGACTCCACCACCTCTCTGGGCAGCCTCTTCCAGGGCTCTGCCACCCTCACAGGAAAGAAGTTCCTCCTCATGTTTGGGTGAAACTTCCCATTTTAAAGTTTGTGCCCGTTCCCTCTTGTCCTGTCCCTGGGCACCACTGACTGGCCCCATCCTCTTGACATCCACCCTTTAAGTATTTATAGGCATAATTTTATAAATTAAAAGCCCAATTTTATAAATTACCATGCCACAAATATTTGATTATGCTTCATGAATTTAATATTGTCTCCTTAATCAATTTAGCCTCTAATGATAATGACAAATTTTTCTGAATTTTTCTTTAAGCTATTAACTAAATCAATGCAAAGTTCATATAAAGTTTTCTTTTGGTTGTGAAGATACTAAGAAAAACTGAAATTCTTCAGCTGATTATATCATCTAGTTTTCTAAAGAAAGTCTCTACTTCCTGCATACAATCAGCTAAAAAAAATAAATTAGATTTTCTATCGTTCATCATCACTGTAATGACAGACGTCATCTAAAAGCTGTAATTATCTCAAACACACAACCAGCAATTCCTTGAGAGAAGTAAGAGAACAATACACCCTATCATTCCTCCCTATAACAACCTAACTGTTCATTAAGCAGCACGCCAAATTCAACACCCTGGGGTTCTGCTGTGTCAGAGCGCCGACAGGAGCGCTTTTAAATCCCTGGAGGAGCTTTTGCAGGTTGAACGTCCACCAATGCACTCATCTTCAAAGTCAGCAACCGGAGAAGCAAATTATGAATTTAATAGGAAGTTAGATGAAGAGACATGGCAATGCCAGGCACAAATACAGGTTGGGCGGAGAATGGCTGGAGAGCAGCCCTGAGGAGAAGGACTTGGGAGTGCTCATGGATGAGAAGCTCAACATGAGCCAGTAATGTGCTCTGGCAGCCCAGAGAGCCAACCACATCCTGGGCTGCATCAAAAGCAGCGTGGCCAGCAGGGCAAGGGAGGTGGTTCTGCCCCTCTGCTCTGCTCAGATCCCACCTGGAGTGCTGTGTCCAGCTCTGGAGTCCTCAACACAAGAAGGACACGGACCTGTTGGAACAGGTCCAGCAGAGGTCACAAAGATGATGAGAGGGCTGGAGCACCTCTACTATGAGGACAGGCTGAGAGAGTTGGGGTTCTTCAGCCTAGAGAAGAGAAGGCTCCGGGGAGACCTTAGAGCCCCTTCCAGTACCTACGTGGGGCTATAGGAGAGATGGGGAGGGACTCTTGATCAGTGAGTGGAGCCATAGGACGAGGAGTAACGATTTTTAACCAAAAGATGGGAGATTTAGAAGAGATATTAGGATGAAATTATCTCCTGTGAGGGTGGCAAGACACTGCAATAGGTTGCCCAGAGAAGCTATGGATGCTCTGTCCCTGGAGGTGTTCAAGGCCAGGCTGGATGGGGCTTGGAGCAACCTGGTCTGGTGGGACATGTCCTTGCCCAGGGAAGGGGAGTTGGAACTCGATGATCTTTAAGGTCCCTTCCAACCCAAACCATTCTATGATTCCATGAAACCCTACAGAAGAGGGATTTTTTTGGCAGGGTTTCTTTTGTGTGAACTGCACCCAACTGTTGAATTATCTTTGAACAGATCTAGAAAACCAAACATTTCCGATGAAAAAAGATGGAAGATTAAAAGCAGTATTTTGTTGACAAGATCTTTTCCAAGAGAAATCCCACCATAGATTTTCACAGAAAAGCGAGGATGGGGAAAGGCTGGACAACAACAATCCAGCTTTGCTAGTGATGTTTTGTGAATTCTTGCATTTTTCATGCCTGCATCAGACAGTGATCAGCGTGTTAGATTTTCTGTGTAAATAGCAGGATGTAAGAGCAAAGACTTGAGTTATCGTTTTAAATCTGGACTAAATCTATTCACATTTGACATTGGTAAAACTGTTTATCCATGAAAGCACAGATGGAAGAACTGTCTCAAAGCGCAGACTTACTGAATTTACAACCACTGTTTAAGACTATATTTTAAACCACAAAACATAATTCACTATGAAATTATTATTATACATTTCATTATGATATATATTAGCTGCATTTAAGTGGTTTAAAAACTTTTTATCTGACAATTTGAAATACTTTATTAAGAGTACTGTCATACTAAATTAAGAACATCTGTCATACTAAAAACTTTTGACTTGACTACCATTAAAAAAAAAAAACACTCAAAACCAGCAACCTACATGCTAGGTGTTATCTAATGCTAATTTAGCATTGGATGAGGAAGAAATTCTGCCTTTTCTACCCATCTGTTGCTACACTTGTCTTGTACAACCCAAGCTCCCAGGAGAACTAGGAATGTTTCCCTCCAACCCCTCCCACTGATAAAGATAAAAAAATAACCATTGCAATTCTTATATGACATTATTCATTATTAAATCTTAAAACTCTCCTCAAAGGTAGTACTATTATAGTTTACATTTAAAAATGACTACCACAGGAACAAAGTAGTGTTGTTCTGCTGGAGCTTAAACAACGATGAATGGATTATTAGACAAACAGGACTGCCTTTACACAAAAAAAGCAGAATAATTTTCCAATAATTGAACGAAATGTCTTTAAGGGTCTACAGATACATTTTTTTAATATTACATAAAAAACTCAAAAATTTGTGTGATGGTTTTTCTGTTTCAGCCTTTTTCTCTTCAGAGAAAAAAGTTAGGTTAGTTTCCAGCAGCTATTAGCATAGAAAAGGTTCACAAGCTACTGCTTTGAGGATGGCCAGAGGTTCCCAGATGCTTACTCTGTACTCACAGGAAGTGTAGTACCTGGCACGTCACAGAGTCATGGAATTGTTGGAAGGGACCTCTAGAGATCATCTAGTCCAACTCCCCTGCCAAAGCAGGATTCCCCAGAGCACATCACTCAGGACTGCAACCAGGTGGGCCTTGAAGATCTCCAGAGAAGGGGACTCCACACCCTCCCTGGGCAGCCTGTTCCAGGGCTCTGGCACCCTCACCAGAAAGAAGTTTCTCCTCGTATTTGAGTGGAACTTCCCATGTTCCAGCTTGTGCCCGTTGCCCCTCGTCCTCTCACTGGGAACCACTGAAAAGAGTCTGGCTCCATCCTCCTTCAACCCACCCTTGAGATACTTGGAAGCATTAATAAGGTCTCCCCTCAGCCTTCTCTTCTCCAGGCTAAAGAGCCCCAGCTCTCTCAGCCTTTCCTTATCTGGGAGATGCTCCAATCCCTCCATCATCTCTGTTGCCCTACGCTGGACTCTCTCCAGTAGCTCCCTGTCTCTCTTGAACTGGGGAGCCCAGAACTGGACACAGCATTCCAGTTGTGGCCTCACCAGTGCAGAGCAGAGGGGGAGAGTGACCTCCCTCGACCTACTGGCCATGCTCTTCCCTACACAGCCCCGAATTCCATTTGCCTTCTTGGCCACAAGGACACATTGTTGGCTCATGGATAATTTACTATCTGCCAGGACCCCCAGATCCTTCTCCTCAGAACTGCTTTCCAGCAGGTCCACCCCTAACCTATATTGAGGATATTGGTGTATGGCATTCCATACACCAATCCCCAAGTCCATCCCCAGGTGCAGGACCCTTCACTTGCCCTTGTTGAACCTCATTACGTCTAGGAGCTAAAATCCTGCACATGAAATATTGAGTCACTAGAGTTAATACAAAAATTATTTGAAAGACCTTACACTGAACAGACATTGTTGTTTTTAAATCGTAGAAGACAGACTCTACCAGTAACTTCAGGGTGATGTAACAGGTTTTACTGCTCAAGATAGGAAACAGTTCATTACTTAAAACTTACTATCTTTAAATATCTGTGAAGATTGGTAGGCCAACAGAAAACAGCACTATTTGTTCAATTAGTTACGGATCAATTTTGCATTGAAATGAAGTTTAACAGTGATGCAAGCTAACCTGAAGCTTATCCAGAGATGCAATGTGACAGATATCCTCAACACAAAACATAAATGCTCCCCCCATCCCTGTGCTTGATGTGAAGCATCATCATTTTATTCAAAACAAAAATAGGCCAGAGTGACCATGGGTTTCCATGGCTTTATACAGCATTATTGCCATACAAAACTATAAAAAAATTGCCCACCTTTTGTACTTCAAGCAAACCGTAGATTTTAAACTCAGTAGCTAGTCATAGTTGGCAGAGTTTGTGGCACAGGATAATAAATATTTGCATAGACTGTGTTGTAACAGTCCGAAAAAATGTCAACTGCTTAAGAGCTAGTAGTTTAAATACTTCCCAGACAGACCAAGCACTGTACTCCAGTCACTCCCAACGCTTTTCAGAATGGATTGACTTGATGGTACTATTTGATGCTACCTCTGACTGCTTGGTATCACCAAAAATGGGTTAAGAGCACTCCTTGACAGCACTGGGTTCCTTTCGCTCTTACCTGCTGCTCAACAGCTGAATTATGGCAGTAAAAAGTGTAATTTTATGCAGCCCCACAAGACACTTTCATCCAAGAAAAGAAATCCAGCTCGTTCCTGGTGATTTAAAACTAAACAGATTCACATCCTACTGAATAATCTGCAATAACTGATGTGTGAAGTCAATACCATTTCTAAAAAGGCATTTTGAGTATTGTGCTAAAAACAAGCCACTCACTGTTCAAAATTTTACTTCCAGTTGCTGATCACATACAATAACAGAAAAGCTTTGATATTTAAAAATCTAGGATTTTTGACTTAGAAATCTTTCTAAGAATGTGAAAAAGGTAACTTTAGAAAACTGTTAAAAACAATTTCTTTAATGCTTACCTGGTGAGCCGTTTCGGTTGAGGTCGCTCTCCAAATTTCCTGAAAAAATAAGAAGTTGCTAATTTAAAACACAAGTGTTTATTCATAATTTTGCAGTGAAATATTATGCCAAATTTTACACTTTTAAAAAAAATGTTGGAATTTTGTGTCTTTTCTTTATGATTTCCTAGAGACATTACTATTAAAGTATCAACCACCTCCTTGCAACATCTTTTCCCACAATAGCAGAGGCTTTTTTTATTTGGAACACTAGATAACTTTGTTAAAGTCACATTTACTCTTCCTCAGAATGGCTTTCGAAAAGTTCAGATATCACAAGTATGTAAATAACCAGATCTCTGCCATAGCATTGGCCAGAAGTGCCAACAAAACCCAGTCATTATCAACATACAGAAATTGACAGACTTTTCTCCAAGTTGACACATCACACTGAACGCTTTCCATCAGGATAATTTCTCAGAAATCTGTTTTTCCTCAATGACTTCTTACAAAACTAATGACAACCTATTTCATACGTGTTGATACAGAATTAGAAGAAAAAAAAAAAAGCTCTCTTGTGGAATGTAACCAAGCACAATCCAGAAACATCCTGCTACACACTGAACATTTTTTAGCCATAAAGTGTTTTGAGACAGCTGTACTTCCTTGAGTGCTTTAACACTCTTCTTGAGAGAGAGTACACTTTTTACACTAGATTAAGACTTTCCACAAAAGTCTTTACATAGAACACTGAATTTACACAGGACAGAGATGTTTTAATTAACAAAAACACACTTGGATTAAACCCAAAATGGTCAGGTAAAAGACCTGAAAAAAGGAAGGTCATACCCAGCCACATACATCTGCTCAACCTGATAATGAAATATAAGCACAAGCTAAACTGAAGACAAAGAGGAAATAGAAAAAAAAAAAAAGAACAGAAAAAAAGAGCAGGCTTAGCTTAACACCTTTCTATCTAAAAATAAACTGAGGCATAAAGGACTCTGCTTCTGCTGCCAATGCTCATAAATATCTCTCTGACTGGCCAAACTGTGATAAGTGGGCATATCGTTCCCGTTGTGCTTCCTGTAGAGTGAAAAACCCCCTCTTCTAATATCGCCCTACAGCAGCGCTGGAGGCTCCTCAGGCAACAAGAACTTGGTCATTAAATGATGGGACAAGAAATCCCCCCTGTTCGTGCAGTGGATCTGTCCTGAACTCATACAGCAACTGGTGGTGGAATGACTCCATACCCCCCATACCCAGAATTTGAGTAATTCTAGAAAGGTACAAAGTAAAAATCCATAGCTATTGCCATTTCTCTGGTTGAGCAGAATAGCCCTCTCCTGAAAAGACAGTGACAAGAACATTCAGCAAGTTATTGAGTTATTTCTCAAGACTTGAGAAACTGGACTTCTAAAGTATTGATAGTCCACTCTAGGTAGATGAATTGAATAAGTCAGGTGAAGCCAGATTTTTTTTTTTCAATTTAAACAATGGAATTAAAATTTATTTTTCCAACCAGACATAAGTTCCTTTCATGTTTTACTTTGTTGTTGTTGGTTTACTTGTTTTGGCTTTATTTTCAGCTCTTTATTTTAATTCTTGCTGCAAGGTTTATTTTTTTTAAAATATATTTTAAATTTCAAGGTCTATGGGACACTTACTTCATTTATATTTTTCTCTGTGGTACGTATCACTGCATTGTCAGATTTGTAATGCAGAGAGGTCACTGGAAAACCCAAAGAGCCTTGTAATTTGGCAGCAGGAAAGTTATATCCCAAAGGTTCTTTGCTTTTATTACTTATCTTTCCTGGATCTGCCCTGCTTCATCTCCTGAGCACGCCCTGTGCCTCTGATTTTTCCCTGGATAACTGTGTGAGTAGGTGTGCATTTCCCCCCTCACCCCCCCTTCCCAGCACCATCCCCTGAAGACCTGGGATCATGGTATCTGGCAAAGGATTCACCTCCCTATGACTCACCGACTAGACAACAGATTACCTTTAAGCAACACTCTGCAGACAAACAACATCCCTAGAGATCAGCTCCCTGATTTGGGGTAGAACTACAGTCTTTGATTCAATCCCTCCGCACATTTTAATTCAGCATGAAAAAAATAATAATTAAGAGGTGCCTGTTTTGGAATAAAGGAGGCAGTATGTACACCACACTTGTTTGTACTGGGGCCGCGAGATGCAATTTAAGAGGAGGACACTCAGACATCAGAAACTGCATCAACACAAAAAAAAAAAACCTCCCAGGCAAAAATCTTACACTCCCATAAGGCAACATCTATCTATGCAGACCTCTTGAGCGCAGCAGATATACTCTCCTTCCATGGACGCTTATTGCTGTCTAAAAAGAGCTTTATTAACAAGGTGTCTACACAAAACAGTTGCAATTACTTAAAGAAATAAACCCCATTTTTTCTTTTAGTTACACTACAGAATCACAGAATACTATGGGGTTGGAAGGGACCTCTGGAGATCATCTAGTCCAACCCCCTGCTAGAGCAGGTCCACCCAGAGCAGGTTGCACAGGAACGTGTTCAGGTGAGCTTTAAATTAAATTCAGCTACTTTTTCCTCAATAATGTCATCTTGACAGATGACTGTTGGTTATCAGTAAAGAGTGTCAATGAACGGCTCGAGTACCACCTCAACATCATCTCCAAGATCCCTTGAAGTTCTTTAGAATTAAAAAAACTCTAGACCTGACCTATAAACGACGTAGATCAATAGACATTTTCCAAAGGATACCTAAATTTTCAGAAAAATGAATGTGTCTTGTATAGGAATGCTATAAATCAAATTATTTAAATAAGTGACCAATACGCACAATGAATAAGGTTGATGGACATTCTTACACATCCGTTAAGAAATATCCTTAGCTCAATAGCAACGGTCAAAGAAGTTCAAATTCAAGAATGACTTAAGACTGGAAGAGGAAACACAAACATTACCATGTCATTATTCTGCACACACTCACAATCCTGAAAACTGACTGAAGTTCACCGAGATAACTTTTTTTCCACTGTTTTCAAAGTAATAAAAGATACCACAAAAGTCTGGGGTTGTTCAGTCTGGAGAAGAAAAGGCTCCAGAGACCCAGCACCATCCCCTGAAGACCTGGGATCATGGTATCTGGCAAAGGATTCACCTCCCTATGACTCACCGACTAGACAACAGATTACCTTTAAGCAACACTCTGCAGACAAACAACATCCCTAGAGATCAGCTCCCTGATTTGGGGTAGAACTACAGTCTTTGATTCAATCCCTCCGCACATTTTAATTCAGCATGAAAAAAATAATAATTAAGAGGTGTCTGTTTTGGAATAAAGGAGGCAGTATGTACACCACACTTGTTTGTACTGGGGCCGCGAGATGCAATTTAAGAGGAGGACACTCAGACATCAGAAACTGCATCAACAAAAAAAAAAAAACCTCCCAGGCAAAAATCTTACACTCCCATAAGGCAACATCTATCTATGCAGACCTCTTGAGCGCAGCAGATATACTCTCCTTCCATGGACGCTTATTGCTGTCTAAAAAGAGCTTTATTAACAAGGTGTCTACACAAAACAGTTGCAATTACTTAAAGAAATAAACCCCATTTTTTCTTTTAGTTACACTACAGAATCACAGAATACTATGGGGTTGGAAGGGACCTCTGGAGATCATCTAGTCCAACCCCCTGCTAGAGCAGGTCCACCCAGAGCAGGTTGCACAGGAACATGTTCAGGCGAGCTTTAAATTAAATTCAGCTACTTTTTCCTCAATAATGTCATCTTGACAGATGACTGTTGGTTATCAGTAAATAGTGTCAATGAACAGCTCAAGTACCACCTCAACATCATTCTCAATAATGTCATCTTGACAGATGACTGTTGGTTATCAGTAAAGAGTGTCAATGAACGGCTCGAGTACCACCTCAACATCATCTCCAAGATCCCTTGAAGTTCTTTAGAATTAAAAAAACTCTAGACCTGACCTATAAACGACGTAGATCAATAGACATTTTCCAAAGGATACCTAAATTTTCAGAAAAATGAATGTGTCTTGTATAGGAATGCTATAAATCAAATTATTTAAATAAGTGACCAATACGCACAATGAATAAGGTTGATGGACATTCTTACACATCCGTTAAGAAATATCCTTAGCTCAATAGCAACGGTCAAAGAAGTTCAAATTCAAGAATGACTTAAGACTGGAAGAGGAAACACAAACATTACCATGTCATTATTCTGCACACACTCACAATCCTGAAAACTGACTGAAGTTCACCGAGATAACTTTTTTTCCACTGTTTTCAAAGTAATAAAAGATACCACAAAAGTCTGGGGTTGTTCAGTCTGGAGAAGAAAAGGCTCCAGAGAAACTTTAGAGCCCCTTCCAGTCCCTCAAGGGGCTACAGGAGAAATGGGGAGGGACTCTTGATAACGGAGTGGAGCCATAGGACGAGGGGTGATGGTTTTAAACTGAAAGAGGGGAGATTTAGATGAGATAATAGGAAGAAATTCTTCCCTGTGAGGGTGGTGAGACACTGGAACAGGTTGGCCAGAGAAGCTGTGGCTGCCCCATCCCTGTAGGGGTTCAAGGCCAGGCTGGATGGGGCTTGGAGCAACCTGGTCTGGTGGGAGGTGTCCCTGCCCAGGGCAGGGGGTGTGGAATGTGATGATCTTTAAGGTCCCTTCCAACCCAAACCATTCTATGATATTATGAAGGCTGCAAACACAAATGGATTCAGATTAAACAGAACCCTGGTACAGAACTCCACCAGCTCCTATTAAACACAATGACCTTTTTTCTATAAACTTGTTCTCAGGAAAACCTAAACCATCTTCTACCAGCAAAGTTACCAGTAGGGAAAAAAACCAACACAACACCAAAACCAGCCTATATTTTCCCTGTCTTTCACATTCTTTCCTTAATCATCATTAGTGAACCAGTATCCTGTCTCCTATGAACCAGATACATTCCACAGCAGCAATTGCATTCAGGATGCCAGATATTCAGTGACATTGCAAAACTCAAGATATGAAACAAGACATGAAAAT